CGAACCCGCCACCTTAGGTGTACGTGGCTGGCGCCTTAGCCGGTTGAGCTATAGGCGCCGAGCCTATCACTGCTTTTCTAACAACAATGAAATAAAGGCTGTGGATGGGTCCTGGTCCACGGGGCCCCAGGTTTGGGCACTGCAATTTTAAAAACTCTGGAGCTGTTTTTATTTATCTTTCCTTAAATTGTGGAGCATACTTTTGCAAACTCAAGAGGCAGAGTTATCCAATCTCCAACTGGTGGGTGGAGACATTTGTTTAGAATCGCCTGTTCCCATATGGTGGTTGTTTCTCCTCCAGAGAACGGTTACAGTGAAGGTTTTGTTTCCCCCAAAGTTATCACCCACAGCGTGATGCATTTGTAGATTTTATAAGCACAGCGGTCTCCCCTCCTCTGTGGCTTTGCTTTCCGTGGTTGCTGTTAGCAGCAGTCAGCTGTGGTTCTAAAATATTATAGGGAGGATTCCAGAAATAAACAGCTTGTGGGTTTTAAACGGCACGCAGTTCTGGGTAGTGAGGTGAGTCCTTGCACCCTACCGTGCAAGATGTGAATCAGCCCTTTGTCCACCACCTCTTGGCTGTGTGCACTGCCCACCAGCTGGTCAGTTAGGAGCAGACTCTATGGTCAGATCATGAAAACCTGTGTCTGTAGAGTTTGATACTATCTGGGCATCCCCTGGGGGTCTTGGAATGAATCCCCTTTGAATGAGGTGCCACCGTCTGCAGACTGTCTTACCAGGTGGTGGGAGCTTTCTCTGAACACTGATAATGTAAGACTATAATAACTACTTGCATTTGGAATTGCTGCGTTTTGTAGCTGTCTGTCCTGAGGGGGTACCAGGCCCGTGTTCTGTGAAGAGTGGAAGTCACCGTGGAGAGAGAGGCAGGGTGGCCAAGTTTGGGCTATTGGCCACTTGGCAGGGGGCTTCCCACTGGGCTGCCGCTCTTGCTGGTTCTGGTATGAGGCTGATGTGGTTTGTGCCACGGTGAGGTGGAGAGCGGATGGGGTTTGTGAGCCGTGTCTATCTGCCTCTGGGCTCATGGGCACTTTCCTGTGTACTCCTCGATGAATGTATAAAGCAGGGATTTTCAGCCGAGGTGCTTTGCACATTTGGGGCTGGAGGACTGTCTCTGGTGAGGTGTCCTGTGCACTGTGGGGGATTGACCAGCGTCCCTGAGTCCCACCAAGCAGATGCCAACAATACTGCCTACCTAATGACCAAAAATGTCTGCAGGCATCATTAAATATCCCTTGGAGTATAAAATTATGCCTTGTTGCATAGCACTGCTACAGATGATCGATATTTAACAGGTAGGTAGATAGGAAATAGATAAAGGTAAGTGGTAATAATAAATGAGAGATCCAGGGAGATGACAGCTGATTAGACGCATTAAGATAGAGAATAAAGCCAAGGCAGGTGGATTGCTTGATCTCAGGAGTTTGAGACCAGCCTGAACAAGAGTGACAGGCTGTTTCTTCTAAAAATAGAAAAACTAGCCCATGCTGGGGCAGGTGCCTGTAATCCCAGTTACTAGGAAGCTGAGGCAGGAAGATCACTTGAGCTTAAGAGTTTGAATTTTCCATTGCTATGCTGATGCCATGGGCACTCTGCCCATGGTGACAGAGTAAGACTCTGCCCCAGAAAGAAAAAAGAAAGAGAAAAAAATATAGATCATAGATGATAGATCAATACAGGTAATGATTAATAATGTAGATGGGTGATACATACAGGTAGTTAACAGGTGGATAAGTAAATAAATACGTAAAGGTGAATGATAAGTGATAGGTATATAGATAAATATAGGTAATAATAGGGGAGGTATTGATAGATCAATAGGAAGATGAGTAAAGATAGTTAATAGGGCGGCACCTGTGGCTCAGAGGAGTGGGCGCTGGCCCCATATGCCGGGGATGGCGGGTTCGATCCTGGCCCTGGCCAAAAAAAAAAATAGATAATAGATGACAGATATATACAGACAATAGGCAGATAAATATATAAAGGTGGGTTATAATAGATGGTATCTATTTAGAGATATCTAAATAGATAAACAGGGACAGACAGAGAGACCCACCTGCTAACACAGGATTCCTGTCTTAGCCCTGCTGACATTGGGGACTGGATTTCTTTGAACCCACTGTCCTTGCTATATGGGGCCGGTGCCCTACCCACTGAGCCACAGGTGTTGCCCTATTTTTTAATTCTTTTTTTTTT